CTCAGCTGAGAACTTGATACTTGCCTGCCTAGTCCTAATGGCTTCTAGTCTGTCTTCCTTTGCCCACCATTGACATGCTTATCTCATGCTACCTTATCTTATTACTTCTTTGTGTAGTTAAACACTTTTTGGACTAACCTGTCTCCTGAACAATCTACCGTTACATCCCAAGTCACCCCTAAACAGATATAAGCCAAAGCTTAAACTCATCCATCAGGAACAGCTTCCAGTAGACCTGGTTTCACTCATTTGACAAGTCCAACAACTATAAAAGCCCTAATCTAAGCAGCTCATAAGCTATGAAGTGCATGTCACTGAAAACTTGTCAGTAAAACGGAGAGGGGTTTAAAGCAGTCCCAACTGGAGAAAGTTTAACTGGCTTCTCTATCAGTAAAGCCAACATCAGAGCACTACAAAACCTCAGGTTTAATCCAGGCATTACCGTCTTTTGACAGGTCTGCAGGGACCTCTGCTTCCCTTTCCTTCAGTGTTACAGAGAGACCTCAACTCTACCAACAGTTTTCTGTACTTCATTTGAAGAGACAACATTCAGTCTTTCCCATCTGTCGATACCAGCAGCTGTGAGTACCAGTTTATCTGCACCTTTCCATCCTGTCCTTACTCAGGGCAGCATATCAGATGGTAAAACCACTGTCTTACCCCCAAGTTGTCAGTCTATCTCCCAGTATCTGCAGAGATACACAACAAGACTAGATATATTTGTTTGCTTTCATAAAGTAACAAGCAAAAGACTTGAGCTGACAACAACAAAAACACCTAAAAACTAGTCATTAGAACAACAAAAGTTATTTGCCATCTTCCCAGTTTCCCTATTCACACTGCCATTTAAGCTGAGGTATTTATGAGCTGCTTTGAGGTAGCCCTGTTCTGCTGTATTTTCATTCAGAACAAAAATCTGGTGGAACACTGATGACAAAGTCTCTCACAAAATTACAATGTTCGTGACTCAGGATTGAGAGCTGTTACCAAGACACCTCTTTCTCACAAAAGTATAATCAGTATGCCCTTCCCACATGGATTTTTCCACTAGGAAATCCAAATTTCAAAGGCTACAAGCAAAAATAGAGTGATACTCCACAATATGAAAAAAAAAAACCACAAAAACAACACAACAAACCAAAACCTCAAGCACTACAAGTTGTAAACAAAGCCAGGGACTTCCTGTGAAGAAGCAGTAACACTTAACATCTTTGTGCTCCCAGATTTATTAAAACTGGAATCAAATCCCAAAAAAGTCATAAAAAATTTTCTTTTGTCAATAACTAGAAACAAATAATTTTCTAAAAACCACAAATATAACATAAGTGTTTCAACCCCTTCCTTATGATTTTCATTATAGCTACTTCAAATTTTGTAAATGTTGAGCTTTTGTAGCCATAAAATAAAAAATAAATGGCAAATTTTAAGATTAAAGTTAGTTCTAACAGTGTAAGCTTCATCCCTTCTGGAAAGGGTATTCATCAGATATAGTAACTAAAAGGATTCATATCAATCACATTACCAAAAAAAAAAACCAAACGTTTCTTCATCCATTATGCTCAAGCTTGAATTACTGCCATGGATATATGGAAAAACATACGATTTACAGGAACTGGGATGAGACATTTGAACCACAGTTTTATTTCTAAATTTCAAGTGTCTCAATTTGTACTGTACCTTCTCCAGCAAAAATGATAGGGACTAAAATTTAAATTTAATGTGTAGGTGCTAACTAAAGCTTTAAAGGGCTTTACAGCAAAAAGGAAGGATTTCCAAAACATACCACTCATTGAGCAGCACTACAAAAGCGGGTTTTAAAATGGTCAACAGATGTAGAGCTACTGCTATTGAAATCAGTGCAAGAAGCTCTCACAGAAGTTTTGCAAGACCTAGAAGAGACCAGGACATGATGGATGACTGTACACAAGTGATGTGCATCTAAAGGAATAGTGTTATTGCCTTCACAGCATGAATTTGCTTAAAACTAGAGGAGCAAAGTTGCTATAGATGAGATTTTTCATTACAGTATATCTTAATCTCTGTTTGCAGCGGTGACATTGCTGCTGCTGGAAAAGGGAAGAGTGCCTTTGCAAATAAAAAAAAAAGAAATACTAGTCATCTGACTGTCATTTGCTGTTGCAACCAAGCACTCTGAAGCACGGTTCAAAGACAAAACAGCTTTTAAGTCACTAGCTGACCACATGATGCTGGTTGTCTAAATCCAATGCCACTTCATTAAAACCTCTTTATAGCAGTCTATGAAGATGAAGAAAAAAAAACCCACCAAAATAAATTCCAGCATGCACTCATAGTTTAGATTGCCTAAAAGGATTCTGAAAAGTGCCAATGAACACTTGTACTGAAATTCTCCCAGTCTGTATAGCAACGCACAGTACAAAAGCTTTCCACTGCTCAGTGGAAATCCTCAGGCAGCATTCCAAACATACTTCACATTCAGTAAGAATTGCCAGTTGCATTTCTTTTTCATCCACTCAAATTATGAAAAATCTCAGTATAAAGCCACAGAAATTCATTTAACTTGGGAGCTGGGAGGAACAGGTACAAAGCTAGCACTGAGAAGAAATTCTGACTTTAGAAATCAAGTGAAATAAACAAATTTTTTTAATGATACTATGATTTATTTTCAGTGAGGCATAAAATTCACATGACCTTGAAATGGTAATCATGCCAACCTGAACTACTTTCTGCATCAATGGCTTCTATTAAGAAAGCTATCGGTTTATTTTCAAATACTTTTGGCATATTAAAGCAAGAGAAGGTACATACGCAACTCCCCAAGTCTCCATGTGAGGATCCACAAATGCAGATCCACAACAGACAGGGTCTCTCAACAAAACGGAACATTTTGACTAACCTAGGAACTTGTTCTGACTTACTCTTGGATCTGAACTGTAGTTCAGTCATCTACATAAATCAAGTAATGCCAGACATTTAAGAAGGAATTGAGGGAACTCTTCCAAAGGCCATGATTTTCAATCCATCAGTCTTCTGCGACCTACTTTTTACTATTTGGAAAATGGCATAACTTCAGAGGCAGGAGACCATAAGCTCTTGTTGAATCAGCATCAGTCTGAACAGCACTGTCACAATTTCTAACTCAGTGCTAGACTCCTGACTGCAAGAAAGTCTGATGGCACTGAGTTAAAAATCTACTTAAACTATACAAAAATATTTTTTCGTTTGTTCTGCATCTGTCACCTTTCAATGTCACTCAGTGTGAACTCCTTTTTGAATCACTGTTGTGACAAAAAATTCCTTTGAAAAGCAAACCTAACCTGTTGTAGATATCAGATTTCAAAACACTTTCGCCTTAGCATAAAGTCTAGCATGATGTTTAACTTGAGCACACTTCAGTATTATTAAGCTCAGCCAGAACAGGTGTTAGTCTCTCCTTCTTTCTCTCTCTCCTGCCTCCTTCCTCCTTTTTTTAATAGGGACATCCCACAGACATCCATCAATTAGCAGGTCAGCAAAATAATAATTAAGATGTTCTCACATAAATGTCCATTGGTCTTAGACTGCAAGAGGTCATTTCTGTGCATGCATAGCAAAGTTACACAGGCTACTGTTTTTCTAATTCTACTGAAGTACTGCAGTATCAATAACTGGAAACAACATATTATGGTAACAAAGAAAAGAGAATGTTTAATCAGTCGGGTGAATTGCCTGGAGTCCCAAAGGAAGCAGCTTGGGGATGAAAGAGAAATTTATATCAGTTCAAAGCCTTGAAGCACAAGGTTTTCCAACATTCACTAATCACATCATGAAGAAGACCACAGTGAAGCTCTCAGCTGGACAAAGACAAGTATGAAATTCTAATTATTCATAAACAAGATAACTGGAAAATAAACAACACAGCAGGAATTTAAAAAAAAAAAAGGTGCCATTCATTTTTTAAAAAATCTTGAAATGCATTAACAACTTGAAAATTTAGATGTCTCCAATTATCCCAGCCATCTAGATACTATCAGTTATTTCCAATTTTAAGTGTAACTGTATGTCTTTGCAACATTAGGAACTTTTAAAGGAAACAAAAATATAGGACTATTTACAAAATGCCTTTTGGTATCTTAGAATACACATAAGCAAGTCTTTAACCTGTCTGCTATCCACAACTCCTTTCATTTCAAAACCTTCCCACGAGTTCATTAAGTCCTCAAAGGTCAGATGGCTGGGCAGCTTCTCTCTCTCAAAGCCACTTCCACAAGCTGCCTCCTTTTTAGAGCTCTACATTTTCTGACAGTAACATTGACAAGATACACAAGCAATTTTATCCTAAGCCATGTGGTCTATTATTAAAACTCAAAAGCTTTTATGGTCAGCTATGTGACGATTGCCCCAATATCTGCATCAGTTTTGCTCCCTGAAGTTGTATCAACCGAGTTTATTTATTGGGCCCTATCTGCAAATCCCAACATGGTGAGACAAAGACTGGATGCACTTGGTAAACACGCCAGCATTAATTATAGGAAACACTGTATTAGTTGTGCAAGACCTGTGAAACTCAGACCTCTCTTTGGACGCATCAGCAGAAATAACACGCTGGCACCCGTTTTTACATCTCACACCCCATTGTTGACAGTTTTTAGACTTTAAATGCAGCAGTCATGGCTTAACAGCCCTCTCTTTCTCCTAGCGCCGTATAGACTTATCTCTTGGCAGTAGGCACTGAAGACACCGCTAAGAATCAAAGCTGAAATTATCATCTCTTTGCATTTCTTCCACATTTAGCAAACACTCGTGACATCCGCAGGGGTACGGTACTCGAACAAACCACGCCTGCGGGACCAGGGTAACGCCAGCTCTGGCAGCCCTGGGCCACCCCGCTCCTACAGTCTCCCCCAGCCCCGTCTTTCAGAAAGCAAGGAATGACTGGAACCAGGAGCGATGCCAAACGCCTTTCCCGGCCGCCCGGCGGCACCGAGAGCCATCCCCGCCCGGCCCAGTACGCCCCCCACCCCCGCGCCGGGGTCACTTACTGAGCTGCCCGGCCCCGGGCTCCCTGCCGCCGGCTCCCCCGAGCCCGCTACCGCTGCCCAGGCTGCCCAGGGCCCCGCCGGCGGGCGGCGTGCCGCTCTGCCGCTCGAAGTTGCCCGGGTTGGAGAAGAAGTCGCGGAGCCGGGGCAGCTCCCGGCCGCTCTCCAGCAGCTCCGTGTGCAGCTCCAGCGCCGTCAGCAAGAGCTGGTCCCGCAGCAGCTGCGCCGCTATCGCGTCCATCGGCACCCGCGACGGCTCCCCCGCCCCCGCGGCAGCATCGCCCGGCGCCGCCGCTCGCAGCCCCGGCAGCTCCTCGGGGCTCCCCGCCGCCTCCGCCGGCGGCTGCGGGTACGCGGGCCCGCCCGGCTCGGTGCTGCTGCTGCTGCCGCCGCCGGCCCGCGCCTCCTCGGGCTCGTCCTCCTCGGAGTCGCTGAGGAAGGGGTTCACGCTGCCGCCGCCCCCGCCCGCCGCCGCTGCCGCCATCTTACAGCCCGGCGCGGCGCGACCGACGCCGGGGTGATGCCTCGGCTAAGCCTGCGCGGGGCCGCCGCCGCCGCCGCCCCTCCTGGCGGGGCCGGGGCCGAGGCCGCTGCCGCTCCCCTGTGATGGTGGTGATGATGGTGGTGATTGGGATGCTCCTGCCGATGCTGCTGCGGGCGCTGCCGCCACCGGCGGCCGCAGCAACTACCCCCGCCCGCCGCCTCCCACCGCCCCACTGCCGCTTCCGGATCGCAACGCTCGCGAGAGCTCCCGCCGGCCAACCACGAGAGGCGCCCCGGCGGCCGGACCCGCCCCCTCCGCCGCAGGCGGGGCCCGAGGAGAGGGAGGGCGGTGCCGAGGGGAGACGTCACAACCGAGAGGCGGGACTACAATTTAGGGGCGTGACCATAGTAAGGGGCGGGGGCATCGTGACAGTCCCCGGTTGGGGCGTGGCCTGAGGCGTACCTGGGGCCGGGCGGAAGCGGAAGTGCCCGGTATTCACGGACGGGCAGAGGAGTGAGTTGTGGCGCGTGCGCCCGCGGCGCTTCTCGCGGGAAGGGGCGGTGGATCCCCCGCTCCAACCGGGGCCGGTCCTTGGGCGAGGCGGTGCGTACCGGCTGCGCCTCACGGCCACCGGAGAGCTTTGGCCGCTCCGCAGAGAGCACGGCGGCTTCACAGCCCGCTGCCGGGACGCGAGGGGTTCGGGACTCGGCTTGGCCCCGTGCCGGCCGGGACAGCGTGGGGCTTCCCGGGGAAAGCAGCGCTCTGCTTGGACAGCTGCTTGGACATTGGAGTGGGCCCGGGGCGCGGGTGGAGTCACCGTCCCTGGAGGTGTTTAAGGAAATACTGGATATAGCACTTGGTGCCATGGGCTAGTTGGTGTGGTGGTGTTCGGTCACCGGTTGGACTCAATGATCTCAGAGGTCTTTTCCGACCTAATTGATTCAGTGGGCGTGAGAGCCATCGCCCAGCGTCAGGTGTGCCTCATGGGCCTGGGGTCAGGGAGGCCATTAGTACCCAGGAGCACAGGTGGGTAGTAAGTTTATGGCCTTTGGAAGAAGGGTTTGGCAACCTGGGAGGACTACGGGGATGTTGTGAGGTTATGCAAGGAGAAAATGAGAAGGGCCAGAACCCAGTGAGAACTTAACCTGGCTACTGCTATAAGAGACAACAATACCTGTTTACAAATACGTCAGCAACAAAAGGAGGGCTAAAGAGACTCTTCACCCTTTATGGGATTCAAGGGGAAACAGTCCTAAAGGTTGAGGAAAAGTCTGATGCACAGAATGCCTTCTTTGCCTCAGTCTTTAATAATAAAGCCAGTTACCCTCAGGATACACAGACCCTTGAGCCAGAAAACAGGAACAGGCAGTAGAATCCTCCAGTAATTCATGAGAAAATGTGTAACTGACCTGCTACATTGCTTAGACACTCACAAGTCTATGGGGCCAGATGGGATCCACCCAAGGGTACTGAGGGATATGGCAGAAGAGCTCACCAAGTCACTTTGAATCATTTATCACAGTCCTGACTAAGTGGACAAGTCCCAGGTGACTGGAGGTTGGCAGCTGAACATGAGCCAGCTGTGTGCCCAGGTGGCATCCTGGCTTGTATCAAAAACAGTGTGACCAGCAGGAGCAGGGCAGTGATCATCCCCTTGTACTTGGCACTGGTGAGGCTGCACCTCAAATCTTGTGTTAAGTTCTGGGCCCCTCACTATAAGAAAGACGTTGAGGTGCTGGAGCATGTCCAGAGAAGGGCAATGGAGCTGGTGAAGCATCTGGAGCACAAGTCTGGTGAGGAGTGGCTCAGGAAGCTGGGGGTGTTTAGCTGGGAGAAAAAGAGGTTCAGGAAAGAGCTTATTGCTCTCTACAACTACCTGAGAGGAGGTTGTAGCAAGGTGTGGGTTGGCCTCTTCTCCCAGGTAACAAGCAATAGGAGGAAAGGAAGTGACTTCAAGTTGTACCATTGAATTTTTTATAATATCTGTTAGATTGGATATTAGTAAAAATTAATTCACTGAAAGGGTGGCCAGGCATTTAAGCAAGCTGCCCAGGGAAGTGGTGGGATCACCATCCCTGGAAGCATTCAGAAGATATGTGAATGTGGCACTTAGGAACGTGGTTTAGTAGTGGACTTGGCAGTGCAGGGTTAATGGTTGGACTCAATGACCTTAGAGGTCTTTTCTAACCTTAAAGGCTCTATGATTCTATCAAGTTATGCATCTGGAAGCTTGAAGTTACCGCTCTTGAAAAGCTGATATGAAGTGGTTACTTTGTGTGTTGCCTGATGAGAAACTCCAAGTCAGAGTGTAGCTACAGGTAGCGTTTGCTACTGAAGGAAGCTCAGCTCATTAAAAATGATGCGGAACAAGGCTAGCATTGGTTTCTGTTTTGCTTCTTTAAAATAATGTTCCATTCCCACTAATGGGCGCTCTGTGTACAGCTGATTCATTAGAAATTACTTACTGGGGCTGAACTCTTGATAGTAGAATAGTGGGAACGTTTTGCAGCAATATGGAGACCTAAAAGCGCTGTTGAGTGCTGACTGCGAACTCTTCCATTCACACGGTGGTGTGCCGTAAAAGACCGGTGCTTTCCTTCTGGTTCAGATTTGCATAATTTTTTCGTAAATAGCATGATCTATTTTGCATCCTGTCCCAAAAAAACCTTTGCATTTTATCACTACCTTATTGTTTTATGTTGTTGATATACAAAAAGAGTTGAGTGGCAGAGCACGAACTGGTTGTGACATAAAGTAAAATGGTGCTGTGTTGAAATTCGAGTGGGATCACAGTAAGAATAAGAACAAAAATATTTTACTGTTGCTGCTCCGGTGGAATTAGGAATCCTTAAAGAAACTTTCTGCTTTTTCCTTTCCTCCCTGGAGGAACAGCATGTTCAGTACGGGCTTGTTAAAAGCCTAGTCTGGTGTTGTGGCTCTTCCTTTATAAAGGATGGAGGGAAAGCCCTGCCGGTGTCCTGCAGCGGCCTCTGGTGACGATGGGGAGTGCTCGCATGTGACTCGATTACAGGGAAGGGTTACCCTGAGGGGAGTCAAAACGATCAGTTCTACCTTTTTTTTTAAAGAAACTCATTTCTGCCGACTTCAGTGTGCTGTTACTGTAAGGACTAACTAACTTTTTTTTCTCTCTTCTGCACTGAAAATAGTGTAAAAGTATTCTTTGTTTCAGTACTTTGGAAGAGGCTTGTTTGGGTTTATGAAACAACTGAAACATTTGCACATGTTGCTCAGTTGCTCCAAAATAATTTATGGATGACTGGGACAAAGCTAACATAGCTAAAATGTGTATCCAGAGTGTAGGTAGAAAAATGTGCTTCTGACAACTTGCTTTAAACAGTTTCTTAGGTACCAAAGGGCTATTGCTTTTAGAAACCTGAAAATAAAACCTGATAGTCTAGTGCCATGGAGGATGTGTGAGGCAGAATAAGATGCATGAGTTCTGGAAATAAAGCATTATATACATGTCTTTATACAGGTCTACATGAGGCAGACAACTGCAAATTAATTTTTACCTAATTTATTCAGTAGTCATTCTAAGGGAGGCAGATTGTTCATCAAGCTGCTTTGTCTCTTACTGGAGTTGGTGTTTCCTTCTAACTTTTAAAGGATTTGGGTTCTGTGTCTGAAGAACAGCATACCAAAATACATTGTGGAAAGCTGAGTACCCAAAATCCAAGGGGCTCGTAGAATAAAGATCTTAGGAGATTTTTGGCGGAGGTAGTGTATAAGCAGTTTTTTTAGTCTGTGCATGTTTGGTTTTTATATTAATTTTTAAAGTTATGGTTCCTGAGATGGAAAGGAAGTAGAAAAAAAATCAGCCTTGGCTTTTACTGTGTTCATATCAATAGGAGTGTAAAATCTTGAGCTAATGGTTCAAAGTTTGATGAACTTAAACATGACCAGTTTCAGGTTCCCTCTGCTATTTGGTGGGGTCATGGGTGTGTAAATTGTGCTTTCTTTCTGTGCTACTGCGGCGCAGCGTCAGCTGCTCTCGCTGTGACTGAACATGCAGTTTGACTCAAGCTATAAGGGGTTTTCTGTTTCAGCTTCTAAAGGCAAGATTAATTTCTTTTAGAGTAATTCTATTTGCTACATATTGGTTTATTTCTGTGCTGAATACTTGACATGTATGAAATAATGTGTTCTAATGAATCCTACAGTGAAGTAGGGTCGTTTTGGTTTTTGTTTGTTTGTTTGGGTTTGTTTGTTTGATTTTGGTTTTTTTTTTTTTGTCTGATTTGAATCTCAATCAAGGCACAGGGAACAAAATAATGGAGGCAAATCTGATTTCTACTTTAAAATAATGCTGATCTGTGCGTTCTGCCAACTCTTGCTCAAGTTTTCTTCTAAAACTGAGCTTCCTGAAAGAATCTTTGTCTATACATGTTTATTTAAGACTAACTTTTACCCCCTTTCAAAAGAAACCTAAAGGAAGTTATGATTTTTATGTTTGCCCTCAGACCTTAAAAAATGAACTTTGGTGCTTTGTAAACTCTCTAAGCTCAAAAATATTTTGATAATTCTGCAGGAACTGAATAATGCAAATACTGAGACTCATAATGTTGGTAGCTTGTGCTTAAGGATCCTCTGCCATCTCTCTGAAACTGTATCTGTCTGTTCCAGCTTTAAGAGTATGTTTCTTAATGAGAGTAGCCTGTATCAGTAGTTAACTTGTGTGTTACCTACACATGTAGCTCCGAGAAACTGACTTAAAAAGTGTTTGTTAAATTGAGATTTTAAGTAAAAGTAGTACAGCAATGTGAGGGGGCTCTCAGAAATATTTTCAGCCTCACTAAAAATGTGATAATGACCCATGAAATCAGCTAAGGACCTAAATTAAACAAAACAAACTCCCAAGATCACTTTGAATTCAAGTTTGGCTGTGTTTTTCTACCTCCAAAACTGCTCTTTTGAAGCGTTGCTGTGAACAGTGAATATTTGAAAGTCTGCCATGAAAAACAGAGTGAGCAAACACACTCAGAGCCTAAGAACTATTTTAGAAAACTTGTTCAAGCTTCATTATGCATGTATTTATGTTTTTGTGAGAATGAACAGATGGAAAAAATGCTGTTATGGTTGAGTGAGGAGACATAAATTGCAAATCAAAATGCGACCTTTTGTGACACCATAAACACTTGAGTGTTGAATTGCTTGGGCTTTGCTCACCTTAGCCTGAAAGATGGAGTGTGTTGTGTGAAATGTAGGCTGTCCAGAAAGCTCTCCTAGAGGGTAACAGATCCCTCTGAGATGTTGTGCCTTGCCCTGCCTCGTGGTGGGGAAGGGAGATAGTGCACCGAGTGAAGTAGGAAAACAGTCTAGGCTATAAAGTTGTTCTTGAGTTCTAAGGTCCAAAGGTACAAGTTCAAATGACATGCTGTTTTGCCTGAATTTAAGGTGTCTTTTATCGAAACTTTGTGGAGGTCAAGACAATTAAGGCTTGACATTGAAAACATCTTATTGACCTTCCTATCACAGCAGAAACATGGGCCAAC